TGCTGCTGAAGCACAGAAGCTGATATCGACCACGCTGTTCATAAGGGTCATTGGCCTTTTAATGAATAATTACAGTAGCTGAATGCCTGCTGGTTAACTGGTAGGAGGCACTCAAAGTAAGAGAAAATGTTTTTTGGTGACCGATGTTTCGTAGATCTTTGGCTGCGTCAGAAATCCCAACAGATATGAGCAATGAACCAGCCATAAAATAATGAATGTTCCGAGACAAGAATATCATCCATTAACCGGCTTTAAGACATTATACTCTTTTTCAGTTTGTGCACTTCCTGAACTGTCATCGTTTAAGAGTATAAATCCACGGGTAGAGTACAAATCTTCTAATTTTCGAGTAAGGATTGCTGATCGAAAGTTTATGTTTAGATTAAAATTTTATTTAAATGCGAAGAACAGTTTCTATGCACTTTTTATTGCGTCAATACATTAACTACGTAAACAATGGTAATTAAATGCCTATTTAATGAATTACACCGTACTTATAATGCTTTGGACAGTACTTCGGTTAATAATAACAAGCGAAACGGGAAAGCCCTCCTCTTATGACCTTCCAAGCACTGATATTAGAGAAAACGCACAGCCGGCTAAGGTACCTGTGAATATGAGATATTATGAAGCAGGCCACATTGCCATTTGAGCGATATTGTACATGTCCCTCAAAAGAGAAAAATGACTTCGTGTTTCTCGTAAGTCAAACGTTCAGTTAAAAACGCTTTTGTGTATGTTAATATACAATCATATTAGCATGAATGAGTAAATTTCAACGAGTTCTGCTGCGAAATGAACTGGAACGTGATTTCGTTGAAAGAATAGAAAAGTCAAGGACTCAGTCGTGCATGCATAATATTTGGGGCATTTCGTGCTAACGAGTTAATGGTAGAAAACCTACTTTATAATCTGTCCTTTTCAGAATGCGAAGCGTTCATTTACTTAAAATAAAGTTAGTCAGTGCTTAATAAATGTTAATAATCATCAATAATTGATCGATCACCTTGAACTGGTTCCTCCTGGAGCAGCCATGGTTTGAGGTAGGCTGATCGGTGGACTCACTTGCAGTCGTTCTCCTCAGCGCTTCTTATCAGTTTGATGTCCGATGAAGGAGAATTCGATGAATGGAGGAACAGAGGAAGGTCGACGATTGCAACATACAAATGTCCTTCGCGGTCGGTCATGGGAGAGTTGGTCACACAAGGATGTGTCTTACCGTCGTTTGAACGAAGAAAGAAAAAAATTAACCTCTGCAGACATGGAGGGTCGATCGCCCTGATTTCATAAATGGCGGCATCTGTGATAAGTTTTTATCACGGACCTTATAGTCCGGTGCTATTTTTTGGTAGGATGTCTTCAGCCATAGGAGTCACAGATTTTGAATGTAAAGCATATCCGATTAAGTGGACTGGCAGTGCGTAGCATCTCTTGTTTGGTTCTCACATAAGGGTTATCCATAATTTATCCATAATGGATGGAGGAAGGAAAATCACTCTGGTTGATCCCTTGACTGACAGCTTGACACCGAAACGTCCTTCTGATAAGTTCTAACCAACCAGTGGATTAAGCTAAGCTTTACTGCTGAAATCAACCAATCATAAGCTGACTCACCAACGCATGGCGGGAAATTAAACGATTCTCAGCTACTTTGCATTGGAACTCTAGTAATATGAGGTAAACTAGTGGCTGACCGTTGACTCGTTGTGAAACCTGGTCTCGCAGTTGTTCCTTCGTCGCCCCTGGCACTCATTTCGGTGTCGCGGCAAAACTTTTATAACACTTCCGGTCCGACCCGACGTGCGCGGATGAAAGGCAGTGCCGCTGCCGACTTGCAACGTTGTAGCGGCCGACCGACACATCATTGACATGGACGACTACAGGGCAGGGATGTCGCCACTGGCCACCCCGCCATTCGGCTCACATTTTTACTACTCGATCCTAAAAGCCAACCGCGCTATTTGCTGGTACTTGGGCGCGCATAACTCGTAAGGCCCTAAAGTCATTACCGGCAAAAACACAGCGTTCATAACCTCGAATGTTTCCTTTCACACATTCTCTGTTGCATTCAACGGGGAGGCTTTAAAACGCTAATGACTCAACTCTTGGTCGTCGTGACTAACGGCGAGACCGGTAAACAAACCTCGGCTGGATTTCCATTCAAATCGCTCGTTCATCTGGCGAGGTTCCGCCGCCAGCGCCGTATACCTTAAACCTTATACCTTAAACATTACAACAAATGGCTTGGCCAGAGAATATGAACAATTGCTAAAACACATCATATTTTGGATAGCTCGAAAATGTTTAACGTTTCTGTCCCGAGACATCGGATTATGACGTGTCTATATATATTTGCCCTCAACTAGCGGCAGATTAAGTTGGCGCTCGAATTCGCCTCGATCCCTTGTTCATTCGAATCCAGACATGCGCTCCTGCACCAATGCACCACAAGTGATCAGATATCATGGAACCGTGGCCGGCTTAAACTTTTCTTCGTAGACGATTGGAACAAGGGGCATGGTATGCTAACGCCGAGTAAATCACTGCGCAATTCCAAAGCTACTGTCTGGTAGATATCCCGGAACAGCGAGTTTGTTTTTCC